GCTCTGCCCTTGTGGACACTCGATTAGCACGTCTGTGGCTGAGGGTGCCCCACAACCTGGTGGGTGCTGTGCCTACAGTTCCCACTCCCTCTGGAGCGTGACGCAACTCCAGCGCTCTCATCTGTAACAGAGGCTCGTCCACGTTGCTTCAGGTCTAGGGTGGCCAAGATCAGATCTCCTTGGGGTAAGGGTCCCTAGCACATGGGCCACAAGACTCTATCACAATGGAATCATCAAATACAGACATATCAGTTAAGCAAGTACAACTGAGAAGAAGCTGGGAGAAAGATCTGCTAGGAAGTCCTGAGTTAAAGTGGAGAAATGGGGTCAATGAATAGGGCAACGCCAAGGCAAAGACAGAATTCCCCCTGTCATATTCCTGGGAATTCTCACTCTTAGACACGTCAGGCTGGATTTCGCTGAGCATGGCTGAGTGATTCGGTGTGGCAGCCTCTGTGGTCTCCTTGTTCTAGACCTCCCGCTGATGATGCCTGAATGGTTTTCCTCTCCACTGATTAGATCCTGAGCAGGGAGGTTTAGTGCGATCCACCACCTGAGAACATTTTACTTGGTGGGACTCCCTGAACTGAATGCTCAGCATGCACTTTGTGATTTGAAACTAAGCGAACTCTTTGGAGCTGAAGTTCATAGAGAAGAGGATTGCCGTCGTGATCCAGAACCGTTCCCTGGAAGTCAAGATCATCCACACGCCTCAGCTTCGTTGAGAACAACAAGCCCATGTGGGCAAGGACTGTTTTCAGCTTTGGAGTAGAAGGGCTGTGCCTTTCTGTGGCTCCAGCTCTACTCCCCACATCCTGGTCTCTGCTGACCCAGAGGAAGATATTCAAGGGATATATTACAAGAGCGACTAAGAGGGGACAAAAATCCTCCTTTTCTCACCAGAACTGCTTCAGCCTGAAGTAATTCTGCTGGGTCCCTAGGCTAGGAGAGGAGCATGTAAAGGAGTGTTGTTTTTACTACAGGAACGAGTGGGGAGACGCTGTGACGGAGGGTTGCCAGATTTAACACATAGATGGACAGGGCACGAGGTTACATTTGAACTTTACATGACCAACAAATCATTTCTAACTTAAAGCGGGTCCTATTGTACTTTGTTGTATTTTATCTGGTAACCTTGTCCTGAAACTCATTAATGCTTTTAGCCAAATGAACCCAGCTTGAGTCTAGGAAGAAGAAAACAGAGCTGCTCTCCTGCCTCTTTTGAGCTAGGCTGACTCCCCATGGGGAGAGTAGGACTGGCTGGAGGGGATGGGAGGGGAGGAAATGAAGAACGAAGGGATTCGAACTCATGAGTGACCTGCAGATGCCTAGATTCTAGTGTGTAGTGTTTAGATGTAATGTCCACATACGGAGATCGCGGAAACACACAGAATGGCCATCCCAAGAAGTGCCAGTTTCTGGGGTAATAAAAACAAAGTCCCTTAGGTTAGGAGTTAGGAGCTCAGAGATCTAGACTGCTGCACCAGTAACCAGCTGCGTGGCCTTCAAGGAGCAATTTCTCCTCTCTGGGGCTGAATTTCCTCAACTGTAAAATGCAAACAGTGTCGGGCTCTAATATTCCACGGGTGTGGTGCTGAGAACCAGAACAGCATAGCTGCTGAGCAGGCAGCTGGGCAATCAGGCTGCAAGGCTAGAACCTGCTCCGTCTCACCAGGTGCTTCCTCTCCCTGAGGTCTGTGGGAGTCGGGGGCTCGAACGCTGTCCTTCAGCAGATCCTTCTGTCTGACAGAGGAGGAGGCTGGCATGGCCAGGAGACAGCAGGACATGGACCGGGCCAATGGCTTTCTTTGGAGCAGCCTTTTATTTTCCTTAAGCCCCTTGATGCTTTTGTGTGTCACACTACCTTTGTTTCACGTTTTATTTTATTTATAAGAAAGCCTCTCTACATTCAATTTGTGATATGAATAATCATCGATTCTAAACAGCATGATGATTTTTCTCAATTACAAGACTATTATCGATATAGATTATAAGGCAAAACTACAAGGTATGACCGCTGCTTTTTAAACAATTTTAGACCTTCTTTTTGGAATTGCCTACGGATCTTTTGCATATCTAAATGAGATAGGTATAGGAGGCGACAAAGCTTTGCTATTTGAGGATGGTTTGATATTTAGAACTGGAGCCAGATCGGAGGAGTGAGGTGCTCCAAGTGAGTAATACAGTTTCTGGTCAAACCCAGGTCATGACAACAAAGAAATGAGTCTGGTTTTCTTGTCTGGCTCCTGAAACGATGCTGAAGACAGTTCTGAAATTTTTAGAGGCTTCAGAAACACTCGGAGCAACGGCAGTATTGGTGTAATCCTCCAGTACAGAAACTGACAGCTTTATCTTATTTGTCTGTTGACCTGTGCTTCTAATTCGACTACAGTTTCATTGAGGGCAGAAGCAGATTCTTTTCAACTGTGTTTCTGTAGCGCGCCTCACTCACTGCTGTGCCCCAGCAATTGCTCAATACAAGTTGGCTGACCGAGTGAATATAAAGTATCTGTAGCAAATGATCCTTCATCAGCTCTCAGAAGCTCCTGAAAATATGCTGATGATGCTTGTGCAGACAAACTACACCCTCCTCCCCACCCTCCCTGCCTTCTGCTGCCATATTGGTTTCACCAGAGTAGAGGAATAACATCTTCCTGTGCCAGCTGTACCATCCATGGGAAAATCCCACAGGCATAGATTATCTCATGCCACAGATCTCTATTGCCCGTCCTCCTGCCCTTCTTCTCCCTACGTCTGGACCCCGTTTGGTTTTGCCCAGATTTCATCTGATTATATGTCTGGCTCCAATATCAATGATTCCACTTCCTCCCTACTTGGCCTCCTCCCTCTGCCAAATCTTCATGTGTGCTCAGCTCTCCCCTGTTCCCATAGCCTCTCCTGAACTGAGAAGAGATGGGACGTGCCTCAGCAGCTTCCCGGGCGTGAGTCACGTCTGCAATCCCGACAGTGAAGGAGCAAGGAGGGTGGGTCTTAGGGTGCGGAGGAGGAAAGAGATTTTCAGTGGTTGTCAGAAAATGAGCACAGGGAGGGGTGGGGACAGTTTGGGAGCATTGAAAGCTAGTGAGATAACTGAGGACTGAGTTAATAACCAGAAGCGAAATGTTCAACATGGGCCAAAAGACTATATATATATATATATATATACACATATTTTACAGAAACAACTTCCGGGAAAGAGTTCCTTTACAGCTCTTGGTTACAAATTTCCATGGTTGCACTACCCATTTGACGATATTTCACAGTGAATGTCGTCTGATATCAACCCATGAGTGAAGTAGACACGCGAGTATCATCATACCCATTTTACAGATGAGAAAACTGAGGCCCAGAGAAATTAAACTATCTGAAGTCAGAGAGCCAGAGAGGGGCAGAACTAGGACTAGAACCTAAGCCTCCTAAGCTCTGATCTGGTAACGTCATGGAAGTAAAGACATGTCCCATCTGTACTGTCAGCATAATCGTCCATTCTGACTGCTGCGACAGTGATCTCTGCCTTCCTTGGGTTTCGTCTAATCCCTTTATGCTGCATTCGTAACCCATCCTCTCAATTTAGTCATCACCCTTTGTGTCAAAGCCCTTTATTCACATGTATGCTTGATGGCTCAGCTTACAGGGTTCAGTCAGCTGGGTTTATTTTGCACTCAGAGTGTCATCTGCCATCTAGAACCAGGAAAAGAGTCAGGGAAGTAAATTTGCAACAAATCTAGTTAATTGTTCCCTTTAGTTCCATGCTGTAATATGTGGGAAGGACATAGCCTCCAAAATTAGTCCTAAAAAGAACTCAGGAAGGAAAGAATCACACCAATGTCAAAAGAACACCAAACTCATCAACTACTCACCCTCTCCTTTGCCCGGGACCCAGGATCTTTGACAATCAGGGGTGACACCTGTGAGACATCTGTGTCTCAAAGCAAATACTGCTGACTCCTAAGACCCCACCAAGACAGAGCCCCAGGTTTCCACAGAAAAGCAGCCATTATTCCTTCTGACAATGTCTTGAGGGCCTTACCAAAAAAATTCCCAAGAATAATCAGGCTGATGTTGGATCCGCAAAAGTAAATGAACATCACAGAATTTGGAGGCTAGGAGATACCTTGGGTGCCATCTAGCCCAATACCCCTGATTTTTGAGCAGCAGAAAATCCCTGCCCTGGCTGCTATGGTTGAATCGGAGCAGCTACTGCAGTGCATGGCACAGAATTAGGGCTCAATAAATATTGGTTCAGTAAATGGACAGATGACGTATAGTGGATTGAGATCACTTAGAAAGACACAGACAGAGCCAGGATTAAAGGATCTAGAACAATCTCTACCCATGTTAATTTAACAAATAATCTTAAGAATTATTGAATTTTTTTCATTTATCTTAGTTCATTTAATCCTGAAAATAACCCCACAAAGTCCTTTGTTATATCCCCTTTCCATGTAAAGAAACTGAGGCCCAAACTTTAAAGTAACTTGCCCAAAGCCACATGCTCAGTGAGTGGCAGAGTTAAAATTTGAACCCAAATGTATCTGGGTTGTCAAGCAGGCTCCACTCTAGCATGCAGGGGTCAAGGCAGCCGACGTGCTCTCCTGGCTCTTGGACAATAAGCACAGAATGAAGAGAGACGACCCTTCAGGATTTTCCTAGAAACATCTATACTGGTCCATTAATAGATCTCAAGAATCCAAACATTTCCCAAATTCATGATCAAATCAGACCCATGGGGAAGTGGACTTGTTTGTGAATGCCTTTTAAAAATGCTTTTCCTAAAATGTTCCCATTTGAGACATTCAAAAATATCCAGTCAGCCCAAACGGGAGCCACCTATGAAGCAGTGGGCAAGTCAGCAGACCTAGTTGGAGCCGACGGGTCTCAGCTCACGGAGCAAAGCCTGCGTCACTCTTTTCAGCAGCTGGTGTGGGGTTTCTCCATTATAAACCCCGAACCGTCCCCACGAGCACTGCAGGCCTTTTCGGATGGAAGCAGTTCCTTACCGGATATCCCCATGAGCCATTCCCTGCCTGGAACTTGGAGTAGTAGCTGCTCCTGCTGGTGGTCCCATAGTTGTAATTGTCAGCCAAGCCATCATACATGGAACCTGTAAGACGGGGAGAAAGGACGGGGATTAGGACAGGGACAGCCACGATCTTCGTCCACCCGTCTTCCTCGGTCACTTCTGCATCCAGGTCCACCACACCCACGGAGGAGACCAGGTCTGAGCTCCTGGAGAAGGTGGGGGATGTCATCTCCTTCTATCTCCACATCCTCTGTAGCCAGGACCAAGAGAAGGGCTACCACAGACTCCCGCAGGGACAGCTCTAAAACTCTCATCCGTCCCCTTCCTGGGAGCCCACTGGTTCCCCTGCTGCTTGGGTAGGTTAACACCTACACATCAGGACTTGGTCTGGAGGGCCTTGGAGCACAGCTATTCCAACCCAGGGAATCATGACTTCGTGTCCCACAAGGATAAGATTCCCACTCCGGGGAGACAGGCAGGATCCCGACATTCCCGGTCCAGCAGCAGCAGCTGATTAGAGACCGATTCGGGGCAGGACTCTGGATTCAAATCTCAGCCCAGCCCCTAGCAGTGACCAGACACGCTTCCTCCCCTTCTTTCACCTCCAACACGCTCCAGCTGGTGAAGGGGGAGCGACGATCAACCTCAAAGGCCCAGTGAGGATTAATTAATGTTTTCGGAGTGCTTGGAGACCCACAAATGACAGGCTCCGCAGGAGGACAGAGTGTCATTAGGGTTATTAGCGGCAAAGTGGCTTAGCATCACAGAAAATAGAACTGGATTTGGGGCTCCTAGTGGGGCCAACCCCCTCCTCTCCCTTTCACTGGCCAGGAGGGAGACCAAGGGACAGCTTCGACTCTGCACAAGCTGGCCTGTCTGCTGGCCTGCTGTCCTTGAAACATGGCCAGCGGTGGCAGGCTCACCCCTTTGCTCACACCTCTCTCCATGCCGAACCTGTCTTCCCTCCTCGGCCATGACCTTCTAATCTTGCTCATCTCTCGAAGCCAAGCTCAAGACCTCACCCACTCCAGGAAGCCCTTTCTGACCAGCGCTGCCCGAGGCCATCTCTCCTGCCTCTAAACACACAGTGTCCTGCTCTCCATAGCCCAAGGCTCCTTGTGACCCGTGTTGCATTCCCTCAGCTCCACAGGAGCTCCACGACGAGCAAACCACGGCTCCGTGGCCTGTCCCACTCTCCTGTCCAGTGATGGCCTTGTGGGGTGGAGGTGAGTGGGATCCAGTGAGAACCTCCTAACAAGGAGATCCCTTCTTTTCTCTAAAGCGATGGTCAGACGCCCCCATCAGAAACCCTATCCAGGAAGAAAGGTGGTTGGAGGGTGAGCTCACCTGGCCTCCCCATCTGCCACACCCACTCAGACTCCCTGGCCATTGCCTGGGGTAGGGAGGTTGGAACATCTGAACTGGAAGTAGAGGGAATAGCTGAGGGGCAGCTTCGGAATGAGGCAGGGATCCCCCGCCTGGTGCCACCTCCTCCGTCCAGGGCCAGGTAACCACCCAAAGCCCGCAGCAGAGGCTGCTGCCTGCTTCCCTGCACCCCTCCATCATGGACATCAGGGGTCTCGAGCTGTGGCAGGCACAGCTTGCCCTGAGGCCTATCGGTGTTGCTACTGGTCCTGGTTCTGGCGCCTGGGCAAGTTGCTTATTCTCTCTGAGCCTCAGTGCCCTCTTCTGTCAAAAGAGGGGGTTGGTCTCTTTCATCCCATAGGCCCCGTCCAGTTCCAGTGTCCCGTGGTGGTGTGAAGACAGTGACACGTGCCTGAATGCATTCAGGGGAGCCGACTCCACCTTCCCAGAGGCACAGCTCAGCTTACGAGGAAGAAGAGCAGACGTCAAAGGCCACACCACTGCCTCATTCGCCACCTGCCTCGGGGTCCTCCGAGAGGCCTCCCCTATACCCCAGGCCCGGCCCTGACTCCGGAAGGGTCATCATCCTATGAGGGACATCCTGGGACTCTGCCGCATGGCCCATTGAGCCTCTGGCTTCCTCCAAGCTCTCTGTGAAGTGTACACGGCTCTCCCTCCGCCTTTCTCCAGAGGCTGCTTCTCTGGCAAGATTGTCCTTATCAGGAAGAGGCTGAAGGCAATCTCGTGGGCTCGTTCACTCAGGACAGGCGCTCCCAGGGAAGGGGGCTGCAGCCAGGCACACTCACAGTCAGGACCCTCGGCGGCCAGCAGCCAGGTCTCATCTGCCTCCCTTCCACCCAGCCCGCTTCAATCATTCTTCCAAGGTTTGGTAGGATGGAGTTCACTTGGCTCTGGCCCTGTGAGCAGGTATTTCTCACCACAGGGCAGGTGTGGGTCAGCCAGCCGCTTCTGGATGGAAAATTTGGGGTGGTGACAGACAGAGCTCTATGGAGCCCCAGGGAGGCCTCCTGCTAGGTGAAGCAGCCCCAGGGGGCTTGCACCAGACTTCTGAGAGAGAACATGTCAACATGACGCTGCTCTCCCCAGGTCATCAGACGAGACATCCCCTCCCGCCATGCCCCGCGCCTGCCTGCCTCTCATACACTCCGTGTGTAGGTGGAGCCCTCTCTGCTGTGGAGGCAGCGGTGGACACATGGAGGCAGAGGCCAGAATGCCCTACAATTCCCAAAGCCAGTCCCCATGTCCAGCATGTACTCTGGTGAAGACAGGTGTGACTGTCACCTGTTGTCGGGCCAAGGCCTGCAGGCCCTTCCAGGCAGTTCCTGAAGGCATCTCCTAAGACCTATCTATAACTGGGGTCTGCCTGGCTCCTGCGAGAATGAGGCTGACATCACACCTGCCTGCACTGCTCATCTGGCAGAAGGTGGCAGTACTTGGGGCGGAGGTGGTGAGAGAGGGGAGGAGTCCAGAGCCGTCACGCACCTGAAATCACAACGTGTGGTGTGCCACATAACCAAGGAGTGCGGGGGGCAGCTGCACTCTGTAGATCACTGCTCCCACAACTAAAGGGATGTCCCCTCTCTTGACCCTGGCGTGGCTGGCTGGAAAGCAACGCCCCCTAAAAGTCAAGTTCAACAGCAAGAGCATGGGCTTCTCATGAGTGTGATGGTGCTAGCTCACGCCTCCACCTGCTCCCTGATGTCTCTAGAGCACACTTCTAGGAAGGCTTTCCTGATGAATGACACCTATTCCCACCTCCATCTCACGCCTACACCGGTCTCCACCACCACGTACTTCAGACGCTCTCTGAAGTGCAAATAGTATCTCTTCTTTCCTTGGGACCTTGGGCTCAGGGCACTGCTCCCGCTGGGTTTGGGCCTGACTGGCCCGAGCTGGCCCTTTGTGTCAACGGCCTTTTGTCCTTTGTCCACCCCATGTGGTGAACGTGCTCTGAGGCCTGGTGCTTAGAGGCTCAGAATGGGGTCAGGCTCTCCTCCCACCCAGAGGTCCCTGGTGAGTGGGGGGAAACAGGAGGAGAGGGGGGCTACTGCAGATCTCAAATACTCAAGGCTACCTCTTTGAGGAGGATTCCTGGTTCCAGGGGGATTGGGGAGGGGCTAGTCCCCAGTTCACCCCACAGAATCACACCTACCCTCCAGCTAAGCATCTGCTTTCCCCCTCTTCTCCCCAGATGGGTGCGTGCACCATAAGCAGGGACATGGTGGCTTCTCGCTGACACTGGCAGTGTGACCAACCTGTGTGTCATCCTCAGGAGGCATCTGCCCACCCACAGAACTCCAAGGTCAAGGAGCAAGGGCGACACAATCTGCTCTGTCCTCACAGCTTGTCCAATTTTGAGTCTGTGTTTTCGGGGGGTAAGACCATCTCAGAAAATCTACCACTCGGGTGACCGGTGTCCCAGCAAGCCGCTTCTCTTTGGTGCCTTAGACAATGACCGGCTGGTTCTCTCTTGTGTCATCCGTGCAACTCAAGCCCTCTCACCTACAAAACGTTTGAAAATGGAGGCAGCTCCTTCTTTAGGATGGGTGGAAATCTCTCTCCAGCAGGGGCAGGCAAGGCTTTGCAGGGATGACTCAACCTCTTCCACTTCCAAGCTTTCAAACAGGTCACACTTACTGCACCTGAAACATTCTTTCTCTTCTTCTCAAGCCCTCTCCCTGCATTCAGAACCTTGCACAAAAATCAGCTTCTCCTAAAAATGACCCCACCCAGCTCTAAGCATTCCAAACCCACCAGCATAACCACGTCAGCACTCAATCCAGCGGCTGACTCTGCACTGGTTTGTGGGTTCCTTGGAGTATGGCTTCTGTACACTGTGTGTGTGTGTGTGTGTGTGTGTGTGTGTGTGTGTGTGTGACAGAGAGACACAGGTGTATGTCACTGTATAGGAGTGACCCTCGTGCAGGGTCTATGTGAGTGAAGGACAAGGGACTAGAACGGTGGTTCTCCAACTTGGCTACACATCAGAGTCACCTGAAAGTTTCTGAAGCCCTGATGCCCGTGCCATTCTTCATACTCACTAAGTCAGTCTTTGGTCAGGGTGGGGTGGGGACTCAGATGTTCGTATTTTAAATTTCCAGGTGATTCCAATATGGAGCCAAGTTTGAGAACAGTGGATGAGAAGTTTTTTTTTTTTTTTTTTTTTTTTTTTTTTAGTATGTTAGGATGTTTACAAGAGAGACACGATGAGCGGCATGCCTTGAGGGGAAGAGCTTTTTGGCAGTACAGCTGCTGGGAGGCTGGGCAAATGCTGTGCAGAGCTGGGGAGTTATACACTCTGTTTCCAAAGAGTGTTAGTGTTGCAAAGCACTTTGGAGATGATCTGATTCAACCTTGACAGCTGCAGAGACCCACAGAGAGGCAGTGACTTGTCCAAGATGGCACACCAGGCAGCGGTGGATGCCAGGGTGGGCTCCTGACACAGCACAGCTGCAAGGACACACATGTAACATGTGTGTGTTACACACGTGTTCATGTGTGTGCACATGTGGGTGTGTGGGTGCTTTGTGTATGCATGCGTATGTGCACGTGTAATGTATGTGTATATACATATGTGCACAGTGTGTGCCTAGAAGGGACTTCACATGACGATATCTTACAGTTCTTCCATTTTATTTTGTTCAAACATTACACAACTTCTAAGGGTCACGCCCCATAGCAGAAGCACTTCCCAATACCTAAACCTAGAACAACTGGCACATTGATAGGTTGGTATGGGGTTGGGGGAGGAATTTGTATTTTTAAAAAATCTCTGCCAATAAGCTTAGTAAAGGAGCAGGAGCCAGAGAAACAGCATTTGCTGTGAAACACCCTAGATAGCCAGCATTTTTGCATGTGTTGGAACAGGCCAACGGAAATTCTGGCTAAAACCCCAACTTCAAGCCAAGGTACATTGTAAAGAAACAAGAATTGGTTCATTTGCAGTTTAATTAGTATGTTTCACCAATGGAACACGCTAAAGCACACACAGCCATTACCATCTGCAATCTCAGCTTCCGTCTCAAAGAAAACAACTCCAGAAGTGATGTCTGTGGTCAGAAAATAACGACTTTCAAGACACTATAATGAGCAGAGCATTCACTCGGGCTCGTGCTGAGACAGAGTCAAACACAAATGCAAAAGGCCATCAAAGTGGGGGCTCCTGAGACAAGCTCCTTCACCGTGCAGTCTGCGGAGCTGGCGAAAGTATGCTTCCCCTCCCCCGACGGGGCGGTGAATAGACACAGGAACCACAGAAAGGGAGCAGGCATCTCCCCTGGCCCAACATCGCCCCCAGCCCCTATCTCCGATCAGAGAGAAATACGGGATTAGCAATTGTAGATGGGAAACAGTACTTCTGTGAAGAAGGGAGAGAGAGAACTTCAGGCCGAGGGCTGAAATCAAAAATGACAGATGTCTAAGCAGGCAGTGGGACAAAGCAGGAATGGTGCTGGTGTTGTTAGGACTTCCCTGGAAGGAAACGTGACAGGTGAAAGGAAGCTCCTTTCTCTGAGCTGGGTATGATCCGTGTTCACAGTGGGTGCAGGGGGAGCATTTGGGTTAGGGCAAAGGAGATGCAGGTTAAGCTTTAGGAGGAGATTCCGGAGAAGTTATAAAGATCTGGAAGGTGGATGAATGCCTCCTTCCCCATCCTCAGGGAGGTCGCTTCCCTAGCAAAGATCTTTTGTTGGGTGGTGACATCCCCTCAGTTTCCCCTTGCCTCCCACATAGTCTGGGAAGAAAAGTATGCCAGACACCCTGACGCACATAGGGACAGCCTGAAGACACAGGGGAGCAATACTTCAGAACCAGTTCAAGATGGGAAGGCAGGTTCAGAGCAGACTCCTTCTCCAAGGTCTCCAGGCCATAGTGGCCACCTTCTTCCTGCCCAGGGGTTCATGACCAGGGAGAGGTGCCTGTCGGATCTGCCACTATTTCAGGGAGGGCATGAGTGCACACAGGCTCCAGGGGCCCTTCTTCCAGCCCTCAGAGGCTCAAAACTCCCTTAGTGACAAGAGAGAAAAGAGCCCTAGGGGAGAGGGACTGAGAAGAAGCCAGTTCCATCACCAGGACCAAGGACGGCTGGTCCTGACTGACTTTCCCGGGGTACGAGGGGCTCTGGCTACGCTTCCAGGCAACCTGTGGGGTGTGGCCAGCCCTTCTTAACTGGGGGAACTTCGGACAGGATTCAAGGGGCTCAAGAAGACCCCAGGCGAACAACTCTCAGCTCTTAGAAGAGACTAAAGGAGAATTTGAGTCTGTGCAGGGGTGAGGGAAGAGGCCTGGGGCATGGTCCTTCCACGTCCCCCAGCTCATTCCATTCCAGGAACCCAGGCAGACTCCTGACAGGTAAACAAGCACGAGAAAGGGGGAGCAGAGTGAGTAGAGGTGGCCGCAGGGCAACTAGGGGACGCTTGGGCGTTTCTGATGGACAGGACAGAGAAATGTGATGAAAACGAAGCCAGATAAACCAGAAACACCAGCTCCAAGTGCCCAAACCGCCTCTTCCAGTGAGGATGCCTCTGGGGAAACCAGCCTCCTTTAGGGACCTCCTGAGGCCCACAGGGCCAGTCCTGGGAGTTTCTGGAGAGGTAACCATCAGCATCAACCCGCCCTGTCTGAAGACCCCCAGGGGACCTTCAGAGGAAAAACGAAGAGGGAGCAAAGGGGACCTTATCGGACAGAAATGACCCAGGAAGACCAAACCCAGAACATGCATTTCATGCCCACTGACACAGCCCACATCCCCACAGGTGGGAAGAAGAAGGGGCCCTTGGGGCACCCAGGGCCGGCTCGAGTTTTCTGGAGCTGTGACCGAGTGGGAGTTTTCAGGCTGGGATGGAGTGGGAGTGGGAAGGGGACAGTCAAGTCTTGTGCAGAGAGGAGAGTAGGTTGGCTTGAGCTGTGCCCTGGGCTGTAGCCAGAAATGGGGGCATTTTGTTCTTCCAAACCTACTTCCAAAGAGGCTAGGAGGCAGCTACCAAGACACCAAATAAAAGGGCAGGAGATGAGCGCTCTGGAGGCGGCATGCCCTTGAGAGGAAATGTGAGGAGAGGAGCCCGGAGCTGGACAAAGGCACAGAGCACACAGAGCAGCAAAGATCTTTAGGTCTGAGGCCCAGGAAATCCTCTGCCCGCCATTTTCCCTCCCTCGGCTCTACACGGGGCCACTCAGGAAGGGGGGCTGGGGCCAGAGGTAGAGGGCGGGAGGGGGGTGTGTGTGTGTGCGTGCGCGTGTGTGCGTGGTGGGAGAATGGGCAGGGTCGGTTTCTTTTGTCCCCTTCCACCTTTTTACCCCCTGCCCTCACTCTCTCTTAAGGCCTGTCTTGATAAATAAGTCTTGATTGACATGTATTGGTTTGCAGTGGGTAGAGTCTTTATTAGCATTTTACTAAACTTAGCTAAATAAAATAAATAAATAAACAAGTGGAAGCTTTGCTCACTTGTGTGGAATTCTTGCCGGGCATCCTTTGTATGAAAGCGTTTCTTTGGTCTGCAAGCTCTCCCCTGTCCGGTACTGCCCCTTCCTCCTTGAGTTTCCTGGGTGCTGCCACCTTTCTCCCAGGCTGCCCCGTCATGGGATCTGGCCTGTCAGAGGCTGGAAGAGGGGGTGCCAGGCCCGGAATCCAGCTTGGAAAAGTGCCCGCGAGGGCTCAGCTGGAGGTCTCCCTGGGGCATAGGGGGATTTCCAACCTGCCACGCTCATTCCCTGCTCTCCCCATGAGACACTTGTTTCTACCTAAGCTGGGTGGGGTAGGAAGAATCCAGTGGGGAAGAGGATTTCTGCCTTGGCTCTTGGGGAAAGAAGACATCCCTAACCCCTTCCCTGTCGTCAGTGGAACCACTGGCCATGGGGCGGCCTTCCAGCTAGGCTAGCCTCTTCCGGGAGGATCCCGATTAAGTGCCCTGAAGTTCCAGGGCCTCGTCCTGCTCCCTGTGCGGCTTCCCTGTCCCGCAGCGCCTCTCCTGAGCTGCACTCCTGTCTCAGCGACTCTCACCCCACTGTAGCGCGCACACACGCACGCACGGCCCCACAGGGACTGGGGTTCCCCTTGGCCTGGGCGCTGGGCATCGGCCGTCAGCTGAAGGCCGGGAGACCAAGCCCAGGAAGGGTGCAGGGCGACCCACAACCGTTTGCGAGCGCAGCCCCCCCCCCCCCCCCCCGCACTGCCGGGGCGGGACACGATGCGGCGCCGATCTGCAGAGCGGCGTGGGAAAGAGAAAGCCGTCTAGACCCAGGCAGGGCTCAGAACACGAGAACCGCTCGCGGGGGATCCTCAGGCTTCCGGCACGCTGGGAGACGCTCCTGGCCGAGTCCCGGTGAACCACCCACCCATTCCGGCCCACCGGCGCGCCATCGAGCTCGTGGAGCTGTCGAGCCGACCTCGGGTCTCGGAACCGGCTGGGAGCTCGGCTGCTCGCGCTCGCACTCGGCGCGTAGACCCTGCCTGCGGCCGGCAGCCCCTCGCCTCCCGGCACCGCCTCGGTCCCCGCCGCTGGGCCAGGGCGCTCGGGAAAGGGGGTCGGGCCTTTACCTCGGTTGGAGTGGCTCAGGGTGGACGACTGGGAAGATTTGGACTTCTGCCGCCTGACGGTCATCATCACCTGCTCCTGCACGCGCTGCCGGCCAGACGTGCCCGTTTTCATCTTTTGGTCCGACGGCAAAGCCAGCGTGGAGTGGTCCTGGTCCTGGAAGCATTCGTACGCCAAGGCGGTCTTGAGCGGCGAGGGGTTCATGGTGGCGGGAGGCGGGAGGCGCGGGCCGGGCGCGGGAGAGCGGCGAGCGCGGCGAGGTGCGGTGCAGCGGGCGGGCGGGAGCGGGCTCTTCTCGCGCTCAGCGGCACCCTGTGGCCATAGAGTGAGTGGTCCGCGTGAGGGCTCCCGGCAGCTGCTCCTGGCGCCTCCACCCTGGCTCGTCCCTCTCTGGCACTGGCGAGGCCCGCCCTCCGTCAGACAGGATATACCACCCCTGCCCTGCACCACCCACTCCACCCGGCCGCGCGCCGCTGCCGCTCAGGCGCGGGGCTGCAGGGCACTGCCGCGGGGAGCCAGCGCTCTTGGGGGCAAGGCTGCGAGGCCCCCGTGTGGGACGCTGGGCGCCTTCCTGCTCGCTCGCTCTTTCTCTCCCTTCCCCCTCCCCATGAGCCAGAAACGTCGCGGGCCTGGAGGCCCCAGGGAGACGCCCCTCTGTCCTGTTCTGCTGGCTCATTGAGAAAGCCTGTGCTCAGCTCAGGAACAGAGGGAGACCTCTCTCTAGGAAAGAAGGAGTGTTTCTTGACCAGGCTGCCCAGGACAGCCAGGCGTCCATCTCCCTCTGTACTCAGGTCATGGCAGAGACCAGCCTTGTCGGTGGGGGCTCCCGGGTGCTGGCAGAACCATAGCTCTTGCCCCAAAGGAGTGCTCCATCTTATGGGGGCTACCCAGGCGACTCTAAAGCAGCTTCCTCTGAAGAAAGAGGGGCAGGGCCAGGAAGGCCCCATCGAGGAGCAGACTTTAGATAGCAGAGCACACAGTAGGTGTGCCTTGGTAAAACTGGTGGTTATTTCTTGTTCATGAATACACCCCGGTAAAACACCACGTAAACAGCAGATCCTCTCTGAAATTCCACACAGAGCCTCTGAAACAATGCTTGGCATAATACTAGGCACTCAATAACAAATATTATTAAATAGGTGAATACACGAGTGCTAGCTAATTTAATGTAAATTAAGTCTAACTTGGATCATAATCAGATCCTCTATGAAACACTGAAAAGCTGCTTTGCCCCAAAAGTCCACTGGGGATTTATTACTATTCTGAGACCTCTATGTGCATTCTCCTGTACACACTTACACCCCTGGGGACGCATGAGCAGTGAAGCTTCATACATGTAGCATGCTCTGCAGGCATGCAGGGAGCCCACATCAGTCAATTCGGTGTGTAACAGGAGCTGAGTGTTTTGTAAAGTATTTACTTTGATGGAAATCTTTCTAAAAGGCATCGCATTCTGTCTTGCCTCCGAAAACAAACAATACTGATCATACTTGCTGTACTTCCTGCTGCCCTGGGTTTCTCGTTCTGGACATCCATTACTGAACTGTGTGATTGTGCAGTCTGGTCGGCTTCTTAGTTTTGGGGCCTCCACCGGCTGTGTGACCCTATCACAGCTGTCGCTCTTGCTGCCATTTGTAGCTGCTGCTCACAGCTCATATGCTTCACTTTTAGTTTGCTCTTAGGGAATTTTATGTTGAGGAAGGATCCAGAAGACTGAATGACTGTCTTGGGGACCACATGAAGGCCACTTACGCACTTCCTGAGATGTGGGTGTTACACGCAGGGAGTCCCAACTTTCCGAAGGAAGGTATTTCTAGTAGCAATTTGCAGAGCAGATTATTGGAAAGCAGATTATAGTTTCCAATGGAAACAGTTTAATGATCGAGGGCTGTGTTCCTAAGAATTGCCTCAACTAAGCCAGAGATGTGACCAAAAACACGTCATAGAGGTGTACAAAACACCTGTAAACCTCTGTTGTCACTGAATGTTGTAAGATTCTGCTTCCAGAGCCTTGGACTCCATCCATCCAAGCACTGCGTTTCACTGATGAAGAGAGGAGGCAGCTTGCTTGGAATGTCACAGTTAGTATGTGGCAAAGCCTGCATCCTAACCAGGCCTTGTGACTCCTGGCACAGTGCTCGTTCCACCACATCATCCAGCTTCCCTTATAAAAGTTCTATAAAATGGACATTAAAAGTACAGCGCACACCGATTATATAAGGGCCCCAATGTACTATAAAGTATACACAGCAGCATATAAAAATATAATTCCATTGTATCACACTTTTGGTCTTTCTAAAACCTAATATGCCAGCCACAATAAATGTTAATTACATCTTTAAATAATGATAATTTTCCCATTTTAGGATATAGAAGGGCCCTGAAGGAGGGGTTAGAGTAGCTCATCTGCCTATAAAAGGCAAGTCCATGGAAGCCAAACTGATTATCTTTAAAATCATTTCCAGGTATGAAGTTCAGTTTTTCTAACTACTTCTCTCCTATGTTAATATTGACATTATTTTAACATATTGATAGCAGTAGCCCATATTTACTCTGCTCCTACACACAGCATGCATACCATCCAGGCATGGTTCTGAGCCCTGTACATGAACCACGTCATTTAAATCCTTACAATGACCCTATGAGGTGGGCGCCATCACCCTTCTTTTTCAGATGAGGAAACTGAGGTTCCATGAGGCCACCCAGCTGGTAATGGCCAGAGACAAGGCAACTGCGATCCAGAGCCTGACACTCGGTGGCAGTGCCAGGCTGCCTCCTCGAGATTTCCTGGTGACAAGCAGATCCTTTTCTGGATGGGTCTTTTAACAGCATCCATTCCCATCACAGGGCATGAAAGTCAGGCCAGCTGGGGTCCCAATCTAGTCGTGTCACTAACTGGCTTCATGTTAGATGAGTACCTTCCTCTGTCCCTCACACCGACCTGCAAAGAGAGGAGATAAACTTGGTGGTCCCCAAAGTCCACTCTAGCCCAACACTCTATAATTCCGAGGTCAATTGTGGAAATTTGTAGAGCAGGACAGCTTGAATCAGGTCCTTCAGACACAGGAGGAGAGGAAAGGGCAGTCAGGTTACATATTCTGGGCCACGGTGAGGGAGGTGTACTCAGGCTGGGAGGATTGGTTTGGGGATCAGGTGTATGTATGGTTTTGAGCCAGCAAGCCAGTGTTATTTCCATCACCTCTTTCTCTCTTCTGCCTGCCTGAACCCCATCCCATATGAGGCCTGTCTGGGAAATCAACCAGCAAGGAGGCAAACACTCCTGAAGTGAAGAAAAGAACTGAAGGAGGCACAGTCGCATGGTCTGAGCTCTGAAATGGCATGCTTTCAGGTGACTGTCAGAACATATATCTAGATGGTAAAATTCTAATGGATATAGGTTAATTTCAACATGGAAGGTACCGGGGAACCTTCCTGAAATCAGTTAATTTTGACTTGATTCTGAAATGAGTATATTTTCATCCTCAAAGGAATGAGTACGAATGGGCTTCTAATTCTCTTTGCTGCCTGCCCTAAAGCATTAAGTGTGACCCAGATTTCACTTTCAACACTCAGGCTCCCAGACTTCACATTCTGTCATCTCTATGTTCATTAAAAAGTGAAATATGAGTTCATTTATTCAACAAGTATTGGCTCAGCCTCTGCCATGTGACAGACCCTGTCCCAGGTACTAAGATACAATGGTGAGGAAGGCGAAGTTCCTGCCCTTATAGAGTTTACTGTCTTTTTTTTTTTTTTTTTTTGAGAAGGTGTCTCTCTCTGTCATTCTCACTCTGTGCAATGGCGTGATCTCGGCTCACTGCAACCTCCGCCTCCCGGGTTCAAGTAATTCTCCTGCCTCCGCCTCCCCAGTAGCTGGGATTACTGGTGCACACCACCATGCCCAGCTAAATTTTGTATTTTTAGTAGAGATGGGGTTTCACCGTGTTGGTCAGACTGGTCTCAAACTCTTGATCTCAGGTGATCCACCCACCTCGGCCTTCCAGAGTGCTGGAATTACAGGCGTGAGCCACTGTGCCTATCCTAGAGCGTACTTTCTACAGAGAATAAGGAAGGCTGGGCCAGGGTTGGGTGCTGGCCCAAGGAAGGCTGAGAGGAGGTCTCTGGGGCTCCTGCTGCTTCTAAGAGTGTCTGGGCTGAATCTTCCTGCTCAGTTTCCAGCCTGCAGGTGAGGGGACCAGCTCTAGCTGAGCCCCTCCCTGATGCAAACCCCTCAGGGATCTGGGAGAGGTAGGCTTTCTTTCTGGATCCCTGGGCTTGCCCGGTGACCCCACCTTACTCCTCCCAGTCCCTCTGCAACTGATATTCCTGGACAGCGGCCAGGGGGCCAGCTCCCTGTTGTGAAGGCTTTTCTGGATGAAATCCTTTGGCCGGTTAGCAGGCTCCTCAATGGCTGCTGAACTCAGAAATCTTATGACCTTCCCTGATGAACTCACACTGCCCCCTCCCCAGTCTCTAAATCGCCTCTGTCTTCTCTCCTGCGTTATTTCGTTTTCATCCTGGCACCCACCCCATGCAGCCGCTGCCCCTGACCTCTGAATATTTGCTGTTGCCTCTGTGTGGAACACTGTCGGTGAGTTACATACCTATTGAGTGCCTGAAGGGGCTAGATGCCATGTCAACCCTGGGAATACAGTGATGAAAAAGACCAGATCGTGGGGCCTGTGTTCTAAAGAGGTAGACAAGAGTCAATTTGTAAATGACTGCAAATTATGTTAAATGCTAGAAACAAACAATGAATGGCCTAGAGGCTGCAGAGAGGGACAGCTCTAGCTATGGTGGGCAGTTAGGCTGAGACTTGAAGCATGAGAGGCAGCTGCCCATCTCAGGGTTGGGCAAAGGGGCTCTGGGCAGAGGGAATGATGATGTACCAGCCATGAACCTGGCATGTCTTCAGAACAGACCGACCAGGGAGACTGGGCAGGTGGGCATAAAATGGGCAGGTGGGTAGTGCTATCCCGTAAAGCTTTCTTTGATTATGAAAATGTTCCCTGTTTGTGCCAGCCCTTTAAATCAATTCAAATTGTATAAAGGAAACATTCAGTTCCTTAAACATACCAGCCCCATTTTAAGGGCTCGATAGCCACATGCCGATAGCGGCCACTATATTGGTCAGTGCAGGATCATGCTGCAGCTTAGAAGCTTCTGTCTGGGGGTGGAATTTTATTCTAAGAGCAATGACAGGCCACTGAAAAGTCTTAAGCAAGGAGGTGACAAGCCCCTCCTGCCTCCTGCCTCGATGCCTCTTGTCAATCCTGTCTATCCCCGTGGAAGAATCTCCAAACCGAATTCAAGACCCCCTCCTGGGGCCCTTGATACCTGGTGCCTACTGTGATTATAGCCCGTGGCCACTTTGTCATACTCGCATGTGCATAAGACCTGGAGGAGGCTGAGGGAGGGGATGCATGCTATTCATTTCTGTTTCCTC